CCTACAAACTCATGGAAATTGAACAGTTCTTAACTGAATCATCACTGAATCAAGGAATACATTAAAAAATAAATTGAAGACTACCTAGAATTCAATGGAAATTAAAACACAACATACACAAATTTATGAGACAGTATGAAAACAGTGTTAATGGAAAATTTTATAGCACTAAGAGCCTACATAAAGAATGTGGAGAAATCTTAGACTAGCAACTTAACAGCAGAATTGAAAATTCAAGAACAAAAAGAAGAAAAGTAGATGACAGGATATGATCAAATTGAGGGCAGAAATCAATAATAATAATAATAATAATAATAACAATGTAATAGAATAATAGAAACAATAGATAATATAATATTAGACACTCAATGATAAGAGAAAAATAAAATGATAATAATAGAAACGAAGAGAACAATAACAATAATCACTGAAACAAAGAGTTGGTTCTTTTAGAGAATCAAGAAGGTCGATAAACTCTTATCCAAACTAATCACAAAAGCAGAGAGATTATCCAAATTATAATAAAGACAGAAATGAAAAGGAGGACATAAAAACAGATGCTTTGGAAATCCAGAGAATCATTAGGTCATACTTACAAAATATGTACTCCACAAAATTGGAAAATCTAAAAGAAATGGTCAATTTTCTGGATAGATACCACTACCAAAGATAAGTCAAGACCAGATAAATAATTATGTAGACCTATTATCCATAAATAAATAGGAGAGTCATCAAAAAGTATCCCAACCTAAAAGATCCAGAGTCAGATGGATTTAGTGCTGAATTATTCCAGAATTTCAAAGAAGAACAAACTCCAATTCTCTTTAAATTGTTCCACACAATAAAAACAGTAGAAACATTGGTAAACAGGGTAAACTTTTTATATGAGGCAACAGTTACCCCAATATTCATACACACAAAAATGCAAATAAGAAAGAGAATTACAGACACATCTCCCTCATGACTATTGACATAAAAATACTCAATAAAACACTGACAAACAAAATCCAAGAAGACATAAAAAAAAACATCCACTCTGATCAAGTAGGCTGCATACCAGAGATGCATGGATGGTTTAAAATATTAAAATTTATGAATGTAATCCACCATATAAACAAACTTTTTTGGTAGAAATGAAGTCATGGTATATTTTTCACAATGTCCAGCATTGAGGGAACATTATCCTATAGCCACACTGATGAATATCTTGCTTATCACCATAGAACCCTCATCTGGTGATGGATGGAAGTAGAGACAGAGACCTACATAGGACCACTGGATTGAGCTCCCAAGGTCCAAATGAGGACCCGAAGGAGGGGGAACATGAGCAAGGAAGTCAGGACCTCGAGGGGTGCGCCACCCACATGAGACTTGATGCTGGTCTAATGGGAGTTCACTAAGGCCAGCTGGACAGGAACTGATGGAGCATGTGATCAAACCCTAAATAAACCCATCTCCATTAATGTGTGCAAGGCTGTGGCTAACTCCATAAGTTCCAGTGTCTGTGTCTGGTAGGGCTAATTGGCTTCTCTCTGACTCTGCCTTCTTTCTCCTAGCATTCAGTTTAGTTTTCCCTGCCCACCTCTGTTCTGCCCTGCTCTTCTATAGGCTCAAAAAGTTTTTTTTTTATTCAAAAACCAATAAAAGCAAAACAAGACAAAAAGACCTCCAATATCAGATAAGGAACCAACAGCAAACCAAAGTATAGATACCCAAAGTCCAGTCTGGTGAACCAGTAACTTTTATTAGAGTTACTTACAGGAATAAGTTCTAGGGTTTACTTACTGTAGCAGAAGGCACTCCATGATCTCTGTATAACCAAAAGCCCACCCTAGAATGAGTGATAACTCACATCAGCAGGAAGCCTAAAAAATACTATACAACTTAAAGGTAACTGCAGAGTTTGGGGACTTTCTTTTTCAGACAACTTGCGACTTAGTTGGCCTGAGCCTCTTCCAGGTAGTTTAGCAGATCACTTCATTCCATCTGCTCTGGTAGGCTCTGCTTGTCCAAGTCCCTGGGCCTATCTCTGCTACTTCCAGATTGATCAGCTTTTCTGAGTGTCTTGCAATAGTGCTTGTAGCTCATATATTCTTGGAATTGAAAGACTGAGTGAATCTGATTAGCTTCCGGATCTTAAGGTGTTTCCATGTAAGATAGAAATTTTATCTCAGAGGAAACTGCTTTACCGTACATACATACATACACACACACATGATATACATTCACATACACACACAAACACACACACACCAACTCAAAGGTAGAGGTGAAATAGAGAAAATGTATTTATCTATTAACTTTATATATCTACATATCATATATATTCATATTTCTAATAATTTTCCATAATTTATACAACAAAGTCCTTCTTCACATGTGATTTATTGCCTAGTATGCATTTTTGAGAGACTTAGATATTATTCAAAGTAAATGGGCAATGCAGAATTTATACTATGTTATATAATATAATTATCTATATTATATTTATTTATGATTTAACATATTATTAAAAAATATGTATAGGGCATATGCTACAGCTAAGTAATTTTAAGCAAAGAAATTGACCATTCTCAAGCTTGTTATATCTATGGGGAAAATAATTGCCCACAAGTGGGAAAAATCTGTTTAGAAATAAGAGTTTTCTCTACTCTTTGTTAATAGCTAACTCATGTCTTTGTATTTATTTGGAGGCACTCAGAAGCTGCCATTTTTTTTACTTAATATCCTTGAGCACTTTATTAACATGTAGCTATTTCAAAAATAGATTTTCCTTCTTTGCTGAAAAGTTCAAGCATATTTTTATTTATTTTATGTATTACTCAATTAGAAATTTATTATAGAATTAATTGAATTTTGTTTTATTCTTTTATTGTTATAATCTTCCTAGATGTGCAAAATGATAGTAGGGGTTTGTAAAGCCAGTAAAATGAAAGTATTTTAATTCAGTTATTAATGTCATGTATAGGCAATGATTGATTTGAACATTGAATGACTTGTTTCTACCTAAGATTAGAGAAGCTCATTCACTGGGACTGTTACTTACAGAAAAATGTTTCAAGTCAGCATTACACTGTGTTTTCAGCTTTATCTTTAAGATGTGAAACTCAATCTGGCCATCCCTCATTGAAACTGGTGCGCTTAAAATGAAAATGTCACCATGAACATCAGTGGGCTATATGTTCTGACTTTCCTGGTTCCTCGCCAAATCCGCTTATGCCAAATCAAGTCATGTGGCCAATTTGATTTGGCCTCAGGCTACAAACACCAAGGAAGTTTTGCTGAGATTATTCCCGTCTACAACCAGAATTCATCAATTATTTCATCCTCCCTCTCCTGGGAATTGTTATTATGAGCACTACCCTGCTTGCCATTCACAAATGATATTGACATTTATTTCATTGTTTTCATAATTGTGACTGAGGCAGGAGTTGATGTTCTTGGATAATTGGACCATCCACAAAGCAGATGTATCTCCACAGGAATAGTCACAAGGACCTTTGCAGTGTCAGTTTGTCATAATCTAAGCCATTATCCTTCAGTTTTTATGCAATCCCATGCTTTGTGCTATTTCAGGCTCTGCCACATTTCATAGGTAATCATAATTTATTGACCTATACAGAAACAGAAGAGAGCCAGGGCTCACTGATGTGCACTAAAGCCCAATTCCTGACATGGGTCCTGTCCTGGACATTTAAAATCATGAAAGGAAGGAAGCCATTTTTAAAAGCTAGGAAATGAATCTCTTTCAGTGCAAGACAGTTCTATACCATTTGACCTCATAGTTGAACTAAAGAAAGTAGAAGAGAAGAATAATTCAAACTGAGACAGAATGGTTGGGAGGTTCTGGTTAGGAAAAGATAGAAATAATGCTGATGAAAATTTACCTCATTTATAGTGAAAACAATATCTGATATCTTGATATGATTAGTTGACAAGGACAATAATATAAGAAACTAAATATGTAAATTTATTGAAGAAGAATAGAAAGAGGATGGAAAAGACAGAGAAGCGAAAGTAAAAGGAGAGTAAAAACAAAGTAAGCAAAATAAACTCACAGAATTCAATCACTAAAAAGGATAATTGAAGAAATCAGATCAGCAATAAGCTGGAACTATGATTTATTTCAGAGACAAATTAATTTATTGTATAGTTAGTAAATCATCTCATTCAAATACAAACCAATGCAAAGCAAATAGCATGTTAAAATAAGATTACAGAGCTATAGTAGCAAAATTAGAACGAACATGATGATATTTTAAAGCTAATGAGTAATTTAGAAAAGTAATGAACACTATGTAATATGTTTAAATAAAAAGAAAGCTAGTGGAATAGAATACATAACTGATAAGATGTGATCATAGTCAAATAAGCAAATAAAATGCAATTGGATTCAGTCATTAAATGTAAACATCAATGAGGAACAGAACAGAGAGTATAAATTTCTGGAAGAAAAAAATGAAAAGAAATATCATCAAAAATCTAATTGAAATAAATAAAATATCTATTCATAATATAAATGGAACCTAGAAATAATTGGTATGGACCGTTCTCCTTGAGGCATATTATATTTAATTCTGACACAATGAGTAAAGACAAACTCACTTATGTGTCTTACAAAAAAACAATCCATTATAACTGACCTATGTATAATTTACAAGTGTAAAACAACACAAGAAAATCTTTTTAAACAAGAAAACAAGGTAATAATGATCACAGAATTCCAGCCTGAATAAGTGAGGCATGAGAAAAATGCTGAGACATTAGTAAAATGAAATACAGGTTATTTTCTAAAACAGATCTCTATATGATAAATTTATACTTGACATGCAATTTTGACTTTATTTTTAGAAAAAGTTCTAATTGAGGTATCCTATAATACACTGATTTTAAACTCAATCCCATGTTATATATGTGCTTCTATTTCGGACTACTACTGAGACCAACATAAAGACAATTTATAGCAGTACGAGAGGTTCCTTTGCATTCAAATAGATTACCTTCCTCTGGTCTCCCAGGCAACATCATGGTTGGGGCTAAAAATGAGTTCAGCATCAAAGAGAATCCAGTAGCTGCAGTTTAGATCAAGCAAAAGTGCCATATTCATTTTGATCCTTTATAACTTATAGCATAGTTCTATATACTCTCCATCTCCATCAAGCTTCAAAGCAGTTGTTAAAAGTGTGAAATCACAGATGGTCTTGTCAATGAACTTTCACTCCAAAATGGTTTTCTCCTATATGTCGTCATTCAATATGGACAGTTTTCATTTGCTTGAGTGCTAGTCAACGTTTCACTACGGTAATAACCTAGATAATCAGTGCATCAAAAGGGGCGGCTTATTTCAGTTTATAAACATGTTCAGGTTTTAGTAGTTGAACAGTGGACCCTATCTATCTTGACTAGTTATTGCACATCAGAGTCAGAGTGCAATTGACCAGACTGTCATAGACTGCTGGATATGAAAGAAGACAATTGTTAACACTTCAAATACAGAATTATAAATAGAAAATAGCATGGATCTTCATAATGGAAATGTATTAAAACATCTGAAAACATAACTGTAGTTTAAAAGTTTGAGTTTAGTGGGATCCATCAGTGGTGATTTGTACCCAAATGTGTGGATTTTCATAGCTCTTTCATTATATAAATATAAAGATACATTATGATATAAAATTTGGCATCCTGAAAAACATATTATTTTAGCTCGATATTATTCATCCTTTATATAGTTGTCAAGTGATTATTTTAAAAGAAGATAATAAAAGACCTAATTTGGAGGAGATTAGCTCTTCTAATATATGGTGAATTGTTCTCTGCTTGAGATATGTGCCATCAAGCTGCTTGCTTTTTTTTACTCCACATTTCTTTAAGCTGATAAATTCTGTACAATTATGGAATATTTTTTCCCAAAATAATTCTCTGTTCCATGCTAGTAAACTCCAGATTGTTCTTCTTTAAAACCAGAGCAAAACCTGTCTTTAGGCTGGTTCCCCTTCTCTTCACTCTTAAGCTACTGGAGCATCTCCCTGAATATAGAGAACATAATTTGTTTTGATTCATGATTCATGAAGACTTAGCTCAACTGCTTACTGAAAGCATATTTTTATCAGAGAGTGGTGTGAGGTTCAGTTATGAGTATCCTTGAAGCATGAACAAAACACCTGATTGCAGCTGATATGAACTAACTCTATGTGGAGAAATTATGTGAAAACATATCCTTCAGCTGACAATTAAAGTTGTGATATTTATTTTGTAGGACACTCTGAAATTCAATGAAATCAAATTGATATACCTCAAATGAGAATTGTGGTCTTTATTTTGTGAGATTCTTATTTGATTTAGATGATGAGGTCATGCAGGTTGGGTTTTGTGCCCTAACTCAGCAATACTCCTCCTTAGCACTTTTACCTTCAAAGATGCTAATTGTTCTTCCAGCACATAGTTTAATGTTGTGGTGATTGCTGTTCTACATATCGTCTGTCTTTTGAGCTCCTGTCAGTGATCTATGAGGCTGCTGATTGCTCATGTCAGCCCACCATAAAGCTCCAACGCTAAGTTAAAAACCTCTGAAGCAGTGCTCGGGCAATGGCAGCTCCGAATGTGTTTATTTCCCACCCCTCTTTGGCTACACTCTATTACTTTCATCTTATGTGCTATTTTATAATGTGACCTTAGTCGTAAAACAAAATCCTACTTGAATTTTAAGTGGTAGTTAAGAGAAAGTAATGTTGTGAAAAAGGAGGAGAAAAACAGGAAAATAGGTTTTCATTTTAAGGCATTGCTTATTACATACCAGAGTGTTAATCACAGCTGGAATGAAACTTCAAATCTCAACAATATAATACATTGATACCCCTGAGTTTTGGTGAGGGAAATGAGTCTTTGTGTTTTATAGAAAACATAACTTCTTTGATAACCTTGTTTTCTTTGTTTTATAAAATATAAGCTTATATATTTTTTCAGTTTCATGTTGATTTTACTTACTATAATTTTGTGGTTTTTCACATGAAATGAGTGCATGATAAACATTTTATCACAGATAAATGAGCCATAAATAAGGATGCATGTTCAAATTGACTTTCCAAATTTTTAAGAATATATTTTATATATAAGCATTATAAGTATATATGTATATATAGATTTAGATAGGTATAGGCAACATTTGATTTCAAATATTTATGAAGGTAAAATATTTTGTTAAAATAGGGACATTTTTCTTTCTTTTTTGGATTTTCCTCTTCAGCACTCTACAAATTATAGCTTCTTTTAGCACTGCTTCTGAGGCTTTTCTGGTAAAATTCAATACTATCCAAACTTAAATATCCCCTGTATCCCATTCATCCTAAAGGTTATAAATCTAGAAATGAACGTTTTGTGAACTGATTAGGGTTGTGTTACACTGGGGTATAGAATCCCCAAGATGAGATTAACAGTCTTGTAAACAGAGAGGAACAGAAATCTCTCCCCACTGTGCACAGTGAACACATAAGGAAAAAAAAAACAGCAAGACACAGTGTCTACTGAAAATTGATACTAAGATACCTAAAATGTGGCATCCTCAGCTTAATGTTTCTGACATCTAAGACTTTTGTAACTCATATATACTTTGAGACACATAGACTATGATATTCTCAAATACCAATTGATATAAAAGCTCCAACCCAATGATACTTTACAGTCAATTGGTTCAAGTGAGGAAGAGAAAATAGATGAGGTAGATATCAAGAGGTGATAGAAAAACCTTCTGATATTCCCATTGTCTTCTTTGTAGCTATGGAAGAAATGTGAGGCTGTGATGGTATGTAATGGGGGAACACACAATGGGGGAAGAAAGAGACATGTGTCTCATGATGTCGTGAAAAGTCTCATAGATATGTTGTAACACCCTAAAGGAGCGGACCCACTCCACTAAGACTGAACTGTATAAGGCCTTTTCATGCAGAAACTTTAATAGCCAGAACCTGGAAACAACCTAGATGCCCTTCAACGGAAGAATGGATGAAGAAAGTATGGAATATATACATATTAGAGTATTACTCAGCAGTAAAAAACAAGGACTTCTTGAATTTTGCATACAAATGGATGGAAATAGAAAACACTATCCTGAGTGAGGTAAGCCAGACCCAAAAAGAGGAACATGGGATGTACTCACTCATATTTGGTTTCTAGCCATAAATAAAGGACATTGAGCTTATAATTCATGTTCCTAGAGAAGCTAAATAAGAAGGTGAATCCAAAGACAAACACATAGGCATCCTCAGGAATATTAACCTTCATCAGGCGATGAAAGGAGACAGAGACAGAGACCCACACGGGAGCACCGGACAGAAATCTCAAGGTCCAAATCAGGAGCAGAAGGAGACGGAGCACGAGCAAGGAACTCAGGACCACGAGGGGTGCACCCACACACTTAGACAATGGGGATGTTCTATTGGGATCTCACCAAGGCCAGCTGGCCTAGGTCTGAAAAAACATGGGATAAATCCGGACTAGCTGAACATAGCGGACAATGAGGAATACTGAGAATTCAAGAACAATTGCAGTGGGTTTCTGATCCTACTGCACGTACTGGCTTTGTGGGAGCCTAGGCAGTTTGGATGCTCACCTTACGAGACCTGGATAGAGGTGGGCAGTCCTTGGGCTTCCCACAGGTCAGGGAACCCTGATTGCTCTTCGAGCAGATGAGGGAGGGGGAATTGATCGGGGGAGGGGGAGGGAAATGGGAAGCGGTTGTGGGGACGAGGCAGAAATCCTTAATAAATAAATAAATTTAAATAAAAAAAAAAAAAAAAAAAAAAAAAAAAAAGAAACTTTAATAAACAGAAGCCGTATTGCCTACTGCATTGCCTACATTTTATCCTGTGTGTCCATATTCTACAGAATGGTCTGATGCTCCCTCCTCCTGAAAGCCCAGGAAATAAAGGAACCGAAAGAGAATAAACTGTTGTCTTTGTAAACCCTGTGACTAAGAGCCTAGCGCCATTTATGTCATTAGACCTCCACATCTGGTTAGGAATCTTTGTGAACTTTTCCAGATCTCAGTCAGAGTCATAACTATATTAATATATTAATATATCACAAACTAACAACTTTAGTTTGTGAATATCTTAGCCCATCCTTGAATTTCCTATTAACATTATAGCAAAAGAACATGAGCATTTTAGCAAAGCTACCATATATTTATGTAGTGTATGTCATTTTGGACAGGGAACAATTTGAGAATACACTCTGATTCACTATTATTGATGCCTATTGAAATAAAGCATTTCTTTGCCTTATATCAAGTTTCTAAAGTCTACATGGATACCACAATTCTAAAGCCAGCTATTGCAGGCCACAGTTTTCCCTTGCTGCCACTATAGAGATATATTTCTCTTCCATGCCTTGTTACTGATAAAGACTTTCATGAATGCCCAGGACCCAACTGGACCTTGCATCTTAAAGTCAGCTATTACCATATTACTTCCATCTTGTATCTATATTCTTTTTGTTCTGTGACCTAATACAGTAACAGGTTGCACACAATAAGATGTGGTCCTATTTTTAGGGCTGTCTCCACTCCAACACCATATAACAATTACAATCAAAACCAGGCAATCAAACACAGAAGCAATAATTTATTTCTTGGGATCACTCAACAAAGAACAGTTTCCCTTTAAATCATTCAAGCATTAGTGTAGGAGACAAAGGAAACCAACAGATTAGATGATGACTGAGCAGAGGCCATCAAAGAATGTCAAATGAGCCAGGTAATCACTTCTCAGTGTGTTGAACGTGCAAAAAAAATCTCAGGAACTCTCCATATATCTGAGGAAGTGTTTGCATTTTAATGATATATCAAGACAACCTGGGGTTCTTACCAGTGGAGAAATCTTGGCTAATTAGTGATGGTGTTCTCTAAACTCTACACTAAAAGATGTTGAGCTTGGCATTTCAGTCTCAAAATTTATGAAAGTATGTTTAGCTCCACCCAGCATTATTTTACCTCTCATATGAAACATACTTTTTAAATTACAAAATTACATCAATAAAGTGAGGTATTATATGTAACCAGTCATGAATAATTCTTATAATACTCAATAAATATTGGTGACATTTATTCTA